TACAGACCGGCACCGGCGACTGGGCGACGCGTCCAAGTGGCTCTGAAGAGGCGCGTGTCTCTGTAAAAGATGATAGTTAGCTGGCGCCCATTGCAGTGTGACGGCTCGGCCTCGCTCGCTCGGTTACACCGGCAGTTGTGCAAGAGCCAAGAACAGATAGATCTGCTCCCGCGGCCTGCTATCTCATTGATCTGCGCGATCACTGACGTGCGCTGTGTCTCGATGAGCCCGTCTACGGACACCGCTCGACATTATTCACCCCAGCTAGGTTCGGCACTGTTTTATTCAGCTCGGAAAGGCGCTGGCCTTCGGCGTGCAGTGTGCGCCGGACGGTCCCGCCGGGGTCTGCAGCTCTCCCACGGCACGGCTCGGCACGTCCCTGGCAGGAAGCGAGCTGCGAACGCCACGCCGCAGTTGGCCTTGTTGGCGGCGGCGCGGCGCCGTAATAGAGCTGAGCCGCCTACAGGAAATGCCGGCTGTCTGCCGGGCCGCTGCAGCCGGCCCTGCATGGAGCACGTGTGACCCAACTGAAGACCGTGCCGGCACCGTCAGCTCGCCAGTCCGGCAGACGGTTACCCGAAAACAACCAACATGCACGTCGGCTCAGTCGAGGCTGAATTTTATTTGGCCTTGTCATCGGTGAAAAAGTGCACCGATATGTCTAATAAAACTTGGAATGGGGCAAATAGTTGGATAAGTATCAGTGGATTTTCCGGCTGCTAAACGAAATGGCATCTGATGAAGACGGGATTATGGATCGCAGGCATTTTGATGCACGGCAGTGCAGGTGCTGGATAAATGTCTGGACCGCGGGACATCCAGGCTGAGCTAGACAGGGCTCGCGGGTCTGTTCTCAGGGCCTGTCCGAGTTATTTTTAATGGACTGAGAGAAGTCGTCATTGACCCGAATTTATGTGCGGTACCGAGCAGCGACCACTGTCGGTACCGAGCGGCGACCACTGTGCGGTGGAGGGGGAGGGTGACTGGAGCCGCAGCTCCCACTGCAGACCGTGCGGGACTGTCCCCTGCGGTCTGCGCGACCCCATGGCGGTGGGGCTAGCGTCCCACCGCGGCCGGCACGGTTCGTCGGAAGGTCATCTCAGGCTCAAAAGAAACGATATATACCATTCGAAAGCTGACGGTGAGCTGAATCCAAAAATGTAATTTTTATCAAAATCGATCGATGGCCTTTTTTGAAAATTGCGTTTTTGTAAAAACTTAATAATCTTTTATTCAACGGGCTGTCCCGGACATTCTTGAAAACATGAACATGTATTTTTTAGTTCCAGTGAAAGAGTAACGCCAAAAGAACAATATTTAGCGAAGCAATATTTCCAAACATTGATATGCGTCTCCCACAGCCGACAATAAGGCGCAATCACACAGTTCAGTGTCACGATGGACCAAAGTCAGCCACACAGAAGCGTGAAATGACCCTTATCGACTTGCAGACCCGGCGCTCTCGGCCCGCCTGACCGGCCACGGAAAGAACGTTCGGCTCTCGTTCTACTAAACAAATGTCATATTTGTCAGTTTAACTGTCCACATCGCTATTAAAGTTATTCAGGATACCTGTGAAGAAAATTCATTGTTCTGTCATCTTCACATCATGCATTAATTTGCATTTGTTCATGTCTGCTTTGCTCAATTGAGCCTGGTATCATGCCCATATAAGGAAAATTGGCCGCGCTGAAATGTCAGAGGTTGCACCGGCCTCAGCTCGGGTGGAGTGGGGGTAGCGCCCGGCGGGGCAGGGTAACCTTTGACCGGTCGCACGGCCGAGCAGCTGTCACCAGTACAGCCTCTGACAGTGAAACCCCGCTCACTTCCCCTGCGCGGGCACTGATCGCAGCTGGATGGAACAAAACATGTATAAGAAAAATGTAAATTAAAGCATGTTGTAAATCAAGCAGAACAATGAATTTTCTTCACAGGTATCCTGAATATCTTTAATAGCGATGTGGACAGTTAAAGTGACAAATATGACATTTGTTTAGTAGAACGAGAGCCGAACGTTCTTTCCGTGGCCGGTCAGGCGGGCCGAGAGCGCCGGGTCTGCGAGTCGATAAGGGTCATTTCACGCTTCTGTGTGGCTGACTTTGGTCCATCGTGACACTGAGCTGTGTGATTGCGCCTTATTGTCGGCTGTGGGAGACGCATATGCATGTTCGGAAATATTGCTTCGCTAAATATTGTTCTTTTGGCGTTCAGCTTTCACTGGAACTAAAAAATACGTGTTTATGTTTTCAAGAATGTCCGGGACAGCCCGTTGAATAAAAGATTATTAAGTTTTTACAAAAACGCAATTTTCAAAAAAGGCCATCGATCGATTTTGATAAAAAATACATTTTTGGATTCAGCTCACCGTCAGCTTTCGAATCGTATATACCGTTTCTTTTGAGCCTGAGATGACCTTCCGACGAACCGTGCCGGATGGTGGGCTGTGTGACCCGATGGACGCACCACCACCGGCGCATGTTTGGTGCGCGTCTGACTGGACCGAGGTCACCTGCGATGGACCACACTCTCAGGTGCGGACCGGGCGGGTCTAAAACTCCCCCCCCCCGACTGTCGCTGGGGGGGGGGGCGCCACCGCGCCGGTGGCCCGGGAGGGTCGAGGCCAGTCTCGCCGGCAGCCCATTGTTGGCTGGGAGAATGGCTCACCTCAGTCACCTGGCGGTCCGCCGCCGCCGGACCCATCTCACCGAGTGAAGGTCACAAGGCGCCGCCTCCTCGACCCCTCCTGCGCAGTCGGCCGCGGCAGGGTACAGACGGACGGAGCAGGAAGAGAGATGGATACAGCTCGGGCGCCGCTCAGCCGCGAAGGGCAGCCGGCTACCCGGGACAGGCGGGCGGACGGCCTTTCTGACATGTAGTCCGAGCTCTGGTCCTGATAGTCCGTCGGCCCGGCCTGAATGTGTCAGCTCACAAGGACACGAGCAGCTGGAGATGAAAGACTCCGCAGAGCGCGGAGTGCGGTTACAAGGGAGCTTTTTACCCGTACGGTGCGGAAACAAAGTGCAGAGGAAGTTATGCTGCAGCGCCTTGGTTCACAACTTCCGCTAGTTGATAGGCAAAACCACATCAACAAAGCGACAACGTTGTTAGTCTGAACATAAATAAACTCGGTAGTAAATACACCCAGTCCTTATATGAGTATAAACGACCAGCAAGCAAGCTATTTTTATTTACGGCCTGCGCCGCTCGCTGACCGTCCACTATCACGCCGCAGGACAGCACAGTGAGTCTGCGGTTCCTGACCAGTTTGACTAGCTGTTACCATGAAGACCATCGCCGCCCGGAGAGCGGGGCGGGTACCGGCACTCGTCACTGACCTTTCCGTCTATTGTGTTTTAGCCGGTAACTACAGAGTGGTGGGCGGGACGGACACGAGGAGCGGCTCGCTCGTGCGGTCGGGGGTGTCCGGGGCGAAATGGGGAAATATGGTGGCTCGCGCCGTGTGCCTGTGCGGTCGGGAGGAGGAAATACGACGGAGAAGGTGCGGCACCTCTTCACTGACGCCGCGTCGGGGACGGGGACGGACCGCCCACCGAGTGCGGGGAAAACTTGTCCCTCTGGACACAAACACGCCTGGTACACAGACTGCCTCCCGCCGACAGCCGAGCCAACCTCAGACGGAAAGGGTGCAGTCAACAACCCTGCTATCTATCCCTTCCCTCCAACCTCATCGTGAGCTGCAAAACCTCACCGCCGCTACACAGCGCTGGCAGGGGAGTGCCTCAGTCAACAGTGCACCTGCCGGAGGCTGCCGAATGAGACGGCGTCTCGATAAAAAGGTCTTCCCGGACGCAGCATCCCGCCGCCCGTCCTAACGATCCGGGAGTAAAAAGGTGACCCTCCAGCGGCCGCAACAAAGCCGGCTCATTAGCACCACGGGAGGGTGAGGAGACGAGCCAGTCAGCGTTCCTGGGTCAGGCCAGGGCCTGTCACAGCACAATACGATGCCGTGAGTTGAGCGGTCAACACTTTTCGTTGTCAACACTCAGGGCAATACGACGCTTCAGAGAGCAACAGTCGACGATATCCGAGGTCGGTCTAATGCTTACGACGTCGTTGCAAGACAACGCCTATGACCCTTGCCCGCTGAGATGGTGAATTCCGGCACGGGAGGGTCGCCGAAGCACCCAGGAGAGATTCTCTCGTCAATGGGGCGGGGAGGGGCGCCCAGAATGCAGGGAACGCGTAGCTTTCTCTCGTGGTACGGCGCTTGCCGTCGGCAAAACACCGGCATGTGGGATCTATAACCCCGATATGGCATTCCAGCGGCCGTGGGTGAGCTCCGGCCTCTGGGCGGCTAAATCGGATCGGGGCGGGGCCCGGCGACACGGCTGACGGGTTCCCGTCCCCTTCCGGTGCGGGAGGGGCCGCGGCGTCCCCGGGCGCCCCTCCGTCACGGTGGACGCCCCCGGTCCCGACCCCACCCCCACCCCCATCGATGCAGGCTGGATATGGACAGCAGCAGTGATCGATCGGTACGTCATGCAAATTGCAATTCATGTCCAGTGTTGCGTGAGCTGCATGGCGTATATCGATGTCTGGATTTGCGTTTGGGTGAACTGCGCCTAATTTTGCAAAGTTCGCTCAGTTGCAAGTGATTCAATTATTTTTATTTTCCGGTTACTGTAGGGGAGATGAGATCATGCTCTTTTGCTCTAGGTATAGGACATTGGGAACATCGCATGGCATAAAAAAATGGGTGACATCCGTCAAACCGGATTGATGACCAAGGAACGAAAATAAGATAGACAAATTTACTATTAATTTAATGACATTGAATGTAACTAAAAATGCATAATGAAATAAAGATGTACATAGGTACCTAAATAATCCAGCTTAGCATGGCCCTCTGCACGGCGTACAGAGGTCTGCATGCCAAGCAAAAGAAATGACACGCACCCCTATCCCTTCTTGCCCTTTCAATGGGCGCTTCATTCGAAGTAATTACGGTAATGTTTTATCATCGTAAAACGGTCACTCACCTTCGCTTGATCCGATCAGGTCTGCGCCTCCACTAGAACTTCGCACAGCTCCCAGACGCTCCTTCGCTCACCACTTGTTGATATTTCGTCACGAACTCCACCGGACGGGCTCGTTTACACAACCAACCTACACTAGAAAACGGCCTCGACTGCCGTGTGCGCCCGGCCGGCACCCCCAGCTGCTGCCACCTACCGGCCAGAGCCGCAACTACAGACGCCCGGGGACCGAAGACTCGCGACAGACACACGCACGCACGGACGTATAGTGCGATGGCGCACACGCAAAAAAGGCTCCCGGCACGCAACCACCGTGACGGTTGATTGGCAGTGTCGCTGCTGGCGTGCGTGGCGGCCGCAAACGTTTGCCCTTATTTCCCGGTCGGTGTCTGTGACTTATGAAGTTTCCTCGGCGGCTCAGCCCCCAGAGGTCGGTCGGGCGACGCTCGTCACCGGCGCTGCCGACCTCGACGGCCTTTTAATTTTCATGAGTGGTGTGTCATGAAAAGGGCCACTTCCCTGTCGTCCTAATTCTGCTCATGAACAGTTTTATGTCATGTTTTACCTTATGAATGAATCGGATTTCAGCCGCTGCCATTCTAACCGTGGATACAATTTAACCGCAATTTAAACAATTCAAGAAACGTTCAATAACAAATATCTAGCCGTCAAGCGCTAAAGAATAAGCTTGCAAATAAATGGAAACGACTAACAGGAAGCTAACTAGTAACTGGGGCTTAGATAAGGACGGTGCCGGGGTATTCTAATCACGATGCATTTCAAGTTACGACACAATTGATAATTATACCCACAAACCAGCTGCTCAGTTCCCGCCTCGGCACATCTTAGGGAGGGGAGAGCTCTCGGCATCATTCGGTGCGGTTATCTCGCCGGTTCACGCCGGTTCACGGCCGGTGCGCTGGGTGCGCCGGGAGCGTCTGAGGTGCGCCAGCGGTGACTCAGGCGCAGCTCTCGCTGCAGGTAGCAGGTGGCACGCAGTTCCGTGGCGGAGGCGGGCACCGGACGGACGTTACGCCACACGGGTCGACCGGAGGCCGCTCGCCGGGCGGAGGAGTGCCGCCGGTGACCAAACAGGCCTCTGAGTCAGTGGGAGCGGCTGTCCCAGCCCCGGGCACGGCTCAATGGACCGGCTGTAGTCCGGTCTCAGTGATTACCGGTGGCGTAATGCAGATTAAAATGTCGTTGAAGACGTCCTCCGGCATCGATGGTATTTTAAAACATCGATTTCTTATGACCCATCTACCGTATTTGCGTTATAAATGTCGATGAAACGGAAATATCGCAACGGCATAAGCTTGAAGGAACGTTTAATCATACGTTAATGCGCCTTACGGTGCGGAACCGCTGGGCAGGCGCTGAACACAGTGCCGGAAGTTTCAGAGGTACTATTGTGGCGACTGCTGTAGGTACATAATTTGATAATTAGAAAGCTGAAACGGTTGGTCCACACTCGGTATTTAAATTGGCTGGCGTGTGCACTGTGCAGCAGCTCGCTCTCAGCAGCAGCAGCAGAGACCGGAGCGGCAGGATATCCCTGTCCGACCAGTCCGCTGCCGTCAGGTCACAGAGGACCAGTCGGACGGCTGCCGTCAGATCACAGGGGATCAGCCGGACGGACCACCGGGCGTGACACCCACCGGGCAGGGGTCACGGACCGTGTCGGGGTCAGTGTCACCTCACCCCGGACCGGATGGATCAGCACTGACCGACATTGTCACACTCTGCTGCGCTGTACGGACGGCTCGCTTCCAGCTGCACGAACTAACTGTAACGCGGCTTTGTTGTTTGTCCAGCTTTACGCTGCGATACGTTTTGGCGGCATTGAATCTGCTAATCTCTACTAGTTATGTGAAGGGAAGTCATCTCTTAACATAATCGTAAAACTCTGGTCTTATGCACTACCATTCGAGCATTTAATTTTTCAGTGTTATTTTGAGCGTTTTATTGATCTTCTGTCATTATCGTCAACCGTCTAAATACCGTCGCAACAACCGTCTAAATACACATTAGTGTAGGCATCTAAAGGATTGCCAACATTTAGCGTTTCTTAAAATAGCCGCGCATTTAGTATGCACACCTCATTCCATCAGCCCGTTAATGCTCTTCACACAACCCCTTTGTTCCCCGGCCTGCACCGACCCGGAGACGGCACCCTCCACCGTCCGACCCCGCGGCGCCGTCTGTCCGACCAGACCGCCGGGGTGGCAGACGCTGCCCCTCTCCGAGCCTATCGTGCAGACTCTGCACTTAACTGTCTGTCTGTCTGTCTGTCCTGGAGGGCGTCCCTCCCATCCAGAGCCGGCGGCGCGAGCGGCTGGGAAAGGGGGCGCCAACGGACGCACTCACCGTAATGAACCAGTTAGGGTCATGGCTGTGTGGGAGCGCGGGTATAGTCGGTTGGGCTCCCTCCAGGCTCCCACAGTAGTCACGATTCTCACCGGCATTAGACTCGATTGGTCCAATTTAAAATGTGAGCTGTGTTGTTATCAATTTCCGAGCGTATGTAGACGTTTCTTCGTGGAAGTTTGAATCATAATAATGTCACGAACCAACAAGAGATTTGAGGATCTTGTCAGCTCGTCGCGTTCGCATCGTTTTGGAGAACTCAAGATAACTGCGATTGCTTACAACGATAGGTATATTGCAACAAGTATTTTCATACTGAGGCCGTATCAAACATCATTTATCTTGTAGTCTAATGTTATTCGCGTCTCGGCTGCTTTAGAACGTTTAACTCGTTTGGTTATCAAGCCTCTCCTATCCTTATTTACCTGCATTTTCACATTTTTCAAAGTCACCATTTTCATTATCGGCGCAACGCAAGCATCGCAAACGTAAATGTCTTTTGCATTTTGCAATGCTTTCAAAACTCACCATGCGCCAGGCATTTGCTGTCAAAGGCTAGACCAAGGGCTAGACACAGGAATCAGGTAACGTAAACTCATCTCTCTTCACACGGCTGTGCATTGTGCAATTTAAACGGTCATTTTATGTTTACCACCGATCGTATGTCCAAAAGTAGGTACTCCAGTATATCTTTCCGAAACGGTCGTTTCTAGTTATCCACTCCCAGTGACGAGTGTCGGTGAGCCAGCTCCGTGTCTCGCTGGTCCCCGTCGCCTGCCACTCCGCCAATGTGGAGGACCTCCGGCGCCGTCTCGCCCCGCTGCTCGGAGGGTCGGGGCTCGCCGGCACCGTGGCGGAGGCGCGGCCTACGGCTGCAGGCGGCGCCGCACTGTCGCCTGCCGACGGCTGCCGCCTTCCTGCACAAGTACGAGCTCGGTACGCAGCTGGGCCGCGGCAACTTCGGCACCGTGTGGGAGGCGCGGGAGCGAGCCACCGGCCGCACCTGGGCGGCTAAGGTGGTGGCCAAAAGCAGCGTGAGTACCGTGCCAGGCCCTTATTGACCCTCGTTGATGCGGATTGCCTGGACGGGGCGTTGCCTGTGACGGGACAGAGCCTGGGATCGGTTATCTGCGTCGGTCCTAAATTTACCTTTTAAAGAAAACAATACCTATAAAAACAGCCCCAGGCTACTTTCAATAAAGCAGAGTAGGTATCGGCAGCTCAGCAAATGTATTGTTAACCCTCGCCGGACCTATTGGTTTTCTACATACGCGCCGGCCGAGGGGGGGGGGGGCGGGTACGACCCCCCTCGCCGTTTCGCCCCTGGTGGAGCTAGCGCGTCGCGGAAAAAACGAGCGTGTGCGCCGTTACGAGACGCAGAGATTGGTACCCGATTTTAAGGTCCTAGGTCAACCGGTGACCTCTGAGGTCAGGTCAAGTGCCCCAGGGTACGGTTCAGTTTTTGGTGAATAACTTCGCAAAAAACGGCCGCAGAGCCGCGATTTTGGCAGCATCGTGTTCGCCTCGCTCAGGCGCGTCGAATGATATACTTTTTGTTCGGGTCAGGTCAACTTAGGATGTTGACCTCAGGTCAAGGTCAGGTCAGCACCCCCAGTTCACGAAGTTGGTCGAAAGAGGTCATGTCGCATATCATTCGATTCGGCAGGTCTTCCTGAGTCCATTGGTGGCTTTCTCGACTCGCTAGCTCAATTTGGTCGGGAGTTATTGACGAAAAACTAATATGACCTTGATGACGTCATAAATGACGTCACGGAAGGTCAACATTGCAAAAGTGACGCATCTAACCTTGCAAGGAGTGCATCAAATCACGATTCTGTGCGCTTGAGATAGTTGGAGATCGTTCCCGGCGCCAGAATAGCAGTTTTCATTTTTCCCCATTGACTTATAATGGTGAGGTCACGAAAATGACCTGACCTCATATGACCTTTAGGAAAAATCCGAGATATACAAGTTGTGAGACTCATAATGGATACTAGATCCTGCAAGTTTCATTTCCCTGTGACATCTCCTCTGGCAGTGAGGGCGTTGCGAAGTTGCGACATCTGAAGACCGTGCAGAGGTTCACTTATGACGCCATAGGTCAGTGACCTGACCTGACCCAAAAATGCGGTTGGTGTCAAAAGATGCGGCTTGGATCAAAGGTCAGGTATGCCAAGTTTCAGCTCTCTATCGCCAGCGTGTTCGGAGCTATCGCGAAAAAACCATATGGGGGGGCGGCACCCGCCCCCCCCCTCGGCCGGCGAGGGTTAAAGCTTGGAATCTATGCTTGGATTAGAGCACATCTAAAATGTTTATTGTTATCAGTTAGGCCGTTCTAATCGTCATGGCTCGCAGATTCGCTAATTCTGCTCGTAACGGGCAAAGAGCAGATGCTGTGCCGCAATGCACGGCTGTAATGCGGCACAGTAGCTTGATGCTGTTCCGCAATTCACGGATGTAATGCGTTACAGCTGCCTCACCTACACAATACACATTATTCGCTCAATGCAGCCGAAACCGAGTTACCGATTGAATTATAAGTGGAAAACAATGGGAACGTTTTTGGTTATATTACTTTAAGTTGGCTACACATGTGTTTCGATATAAATCTTTTTCAAGCCATAAAGACAAAATAAAATGTAAATAATTCGCCTAAACATCAAAGTTGATGTTTAGGCGAATTATTTACATTTTATTTTGTCTTTATGGCTTGAAAAAGATTTATATCGAAACACATGTGTAGCCAACTTAAAGTAATATAACCAAAAACGTTCCCATTGTTTTCCACTTATAATTCAATTTGTCTATCTATATCGAGTTACCGATCTTGTTCAGACTTCAGACTATCACAATCCATTACGATAATCTACTATACTATTTGTTTAATACCTATTTGTTAAATAGCTTGGCTCCGTAGATCTTGTTTGCAGCTGCACTAAGACGACCGGAGATAAGTAGGTTTCTTTTTTTGTGCTCCACTGAATCAATATTTTCTTTCCAGAACAAGCTGAAGATGCTCCTGCTTTCTCGAGAGATTCAAGTGTTGAAAATGGTCGAGCATCCAAACATTGTTTACCTCAGGGAAATATTCGAGACTCCAGAGGTAATAATGCGTTTTAGATATTTGGTTAAAGGTAGTGTGCCAGCTTTCTTGGACCGTATGGAGTTAATGGCCCAGATAAGGAGAACCGGATTTTTAGAACTTATCCATACCTTCAAAACTCATGGAAACGTCTTAAATTCTTCAAATTTTGAGTACCCCAGTGCGAAATTCGCCCCGACGGGTTGTCGGTCGTACCCCAACCACATTTCACACCACTATGAACAATAAATGCACACACTGAAATCGCTATTACCGATATGCTCATCCAATCAAGTTTCGATAAACCCGTTCATCATCAGCTCCTGCGGTTTCGAACACGCCTGTTAGGTGGTGCGGTAGACCACGCCCAAAGCCAGGGCCCCGGTAACGTGAGGTAGCCGAGTCAGGGCAGCGTGTACTGACCCAAGCCGGAGCCGCGCGTCCTCCCGGTGTCATGTGATAGCCCGGGGCTGCCCGCGGGGATGCGGTAGACCGCGCCCAAAGCTGCGGCCCCGGCTTGGGTCAGCGCACGCTGCCCCGACTCGGCTACCTCACGTTACCGGGGCCCTGGCTTTGGGCGCGGCTTCTGCTCATACTTTGTGGTGCGGTGGTGGTGCGTTAGGCTGCGCGCTCTGACTTCGGCCAAGAAAAATGCGTCAGCTGATCATTGTCATTTCTGCCACTTGCGTGTGGTGAAATGGGGTCATAACTTATAAGACGGCTTTTTCATATCAATTATTTTACATAAAATCATATTTCAAACCATAAATAATGTGCGACAGCCAAATAAAAGAAACAATACCAATACGGGCTTACAGTTTAAGGCTCGACATTGTGTTGTCTACGATTAGACAGCTGATAACTCATTCCCGTACAGGGTGGGGCAGCATAATCGGGAATGCTTTTTGGGCTCTGGTCATGAGTAGGCATGGCATTATTTTGATAAATTATATCATGGCAATGAAACGCCCAAAAGTTGTGCATCATCTGACATGACTACATCCATGAGCATGCAACTTCCTGGAAAAGAGCAGCAAAATAGTTCGACGGTGCTCCAAGTGCTTTGCGCGCGCCCATAGACACTAATGTTAAACGAGTAAAACAAGAACATTTTGTTTAAAACAATGCCATTCCACGTAAAGGTTGCTGGACAGGTCAACGTGTTATCACGGACGATAAGGATTGTGTGGGGATACTTAGGACAAAAAGTTAACGTAATCGTCGTAAAATAACTCTTAGCAGAGGACATACAAGATGACTCACTTGAATATAAGGAAGAAGCTCTTGAGCATATTAAAAAGAAACAATGTTCAAAACTTCAGCGACCAAAAATCTTATCACCGACTGGAATACGATAAAAAAGAATGGCATGCCATATAGGGGATTGTATCGAGAATATTGCAGCGGTCATGCAAAGTAAACATCCTGTTGAGGTGATGGACCTATGGGTGGTCTTCAAGGGAGGTGCACGTGGTGCACCCTACTTCATCGAGCCCGGATAAAACGAGCACCTCTGGTAAATACATCCACACTCTGGCAGACTCACGTGGAGTCGTCGGAAGAGAGGATCACTGACGGTCCAGATCACGTCTTACGAGGACTCTGTCCGTGCTGGTACTGCAGTGAGGACGACATGTTATTGTGTAGGGCACCTCCACCTGAGATGAACCAAAAACTTCTGGTCCTTCAACTCCGCCGATTTAAATCCGACCAAATTCTTTATATGGAGCGTTTTTTGGTAGAAGTTTAATGAACAACTTATCATCAGTAAAAACGGTCTTCAGTGCAAGGTACGAAGCTGATGGGCGATCATGGACAAGCAGGAGGCTGCACGTGCATGCGCGTGCTTTTGGACCCGCCTTGAGAAGGTCATCGACGCGAAGGGCGGTCAAATAGGATGAGGGATAGGTAAAAGGTGACCGATTGATGGGATGTTGTTAAAATAGTGCTTGGAGCTATATTTTTAAATTCATGACCAAATAATCCCGTTTGATATTTATTCCCGATTATGCTGCCCCACCCTGTACGTCGTATGGTCGTAACACTAAAATGACCTTTGCTTATTGTCACAAGTGCGCCGCATTCGCGATTGTTGCCCGACGCCTGTTTGCAGGTGAGCCCACTACAGTTGTTATACATATCTAAAAACCGATAAACTTTTAGGCGAAAAAGGCACTATTCCAGGCCCATTTTTGATTTTTTTTGCGATATTAGGTAAAAACAGAAGCTTCTTATCCTAGGAAAAATAAAATGGGAAATCTTTCAAAGGTGGCACACTACCTTTAAACGCTGATTGTCTTGTCGTTCGCATGCCTCATTGATCTATCATACGGTTGAAGGGACAGGCAAGTCACAATTACCGTGCTTTTTTCATATATCCGCCCTCAGAACGTATACCTGATTCTGGAGCTGTGTGAACACGGAGAGCTGGCCACTTTCTGCCGACATAAAGGAAAAATCAGCGAGACGGATGCCCGAACCATCATCACGGGAATCACCAGTGCCATTCAGTATCTTCACAAACACGGTCAGAACTCAGACGATAGGATGATATATGATGATTAAACAAATACCTACGACAGAAGAGGTATAATATGCAACATCTTGTTACATATAAAGGAAATCGTGTATTATAGCTACCTACAGCAGCTTTGCGGTCTGATCAATACCACTTCCTGTCTTCAGGAATCGTTCATCGGGATCTGAAGTTGGAGAACGTGCTTCTGGCGTCTCCGGGGCCCGACTCTACCCACCCCAGTTCCTCTCCGAGCCAGCCGTGTGCCAAACTCTCCGACTTTGGTCTGGCAGAGGTTAAGGACAAACGGGACCACGACCACATGATGGAGCTCTTCTGCGGCACCCCCTACTGCATGGGTAACGTCATAAAACGTCTAAATTCTATTTACCAAAACGGTTTTTAAAGTGCTTGCATTAAAGTAAGAAAAAGGTCGATGAAAATAAATGCAACGCTGCTATATAAGCATATACGTTTAACGTAGGTATAGTTAAAATCTTAGTAGTCGGAAGCAGTTATATTGCAAATGGGTTTGCAAATGTTTTCACAGTGGCGGATCCAGGGGGGGGGGCAAAATGGGCATTTGCCCCCCCCCCCAAACGGCGTAATTTTAACATTACGCCTATGGACGAGGCATGGAAAGAATCGACAAATTGTTATGGTTTGCCCCCCCCCCCCCCAAAGAAAAAACTCTGAGCTGGATCCGCCTCTGTGTTTTCAAATTGATATTCATGCCTTATTCATCTTTATATTTACGGCCTGAATTGTCATTGATCTCGCTCCCAGAATGCCGCCATCCCGACTTTTCCCCGACCTCCGCCGTCCACAGCTCCGGAGATCCCCATCGGTCCGCAGTTCGGCCACTGCTGGCTCTGAATTAATTGACGTTTTCCCCGACCTCCGCCTTCTGCAGCTCCTGAGATTCTCAGTGAGCGCGCCTACAGCCAGCAGTGCGACGTGTGGTCGATGGGCGTCATCCTCTACACCCTGATCGCCGGCAGCAGCCCCTACATGGGCGGCAGCGAGAGGGACGTGCTCTACAGCATCCACCGGCACCCGCACCTGCAGGTGAGGGGTGCTCGGAGTCGGGACTGCAGGTTTATTGTGCTGGAGCCTGAAGGTAAAGACCTTGACCCTAAAGGGCACCTGCACCGCACAGGTAAGGGGTGCTTGTACGTATCATGCAGGCAGTGGCTCTGTCTCGGTGCATCCAATGCCGTATCAAGATAATGGGTGCTGGGTAGTCGTGTATGTGACCTTTATCATCTGTCGCAGGTCTGTGCGACTAACGAGTCCTGGCTGTATGTGGGTTCTGTTCGCCTTATCTGTGGGCGTTTTATGTGCTCGTTGTATATTTAGTGAACGCCTGTTCTCTCGCTGTTTTCTACAGGATGACCCGGCTCTGGCCACGGTGACGGATGGTGCCAGGGACCTGCTCTCCAGGATGCTGCACCTCGACCCGGCCTACCGCATCACGGCCGCAGAGGTGGTGGCGCACCCCTGGGTCACGGTCAGTTTGTATCACATACCCTAGGCTACATCCCGGCTCGCGGCCTTTTTTGGCGCACCTCTGGGATGAGCACTCTGAGGTGCCTTTTAAATGTCGCCGTTTAGTAGACGCTGTACGATTTTATTTTTTTCTGTGAATTGTGAATTGTTTTAGCAAACGCATAATCTTGTCTTTACTATTGTTTAGTTGTATACTTTTGATGTAGCGCATTAGTTTACGCATTGACGTACATTTTGCAGGATAAATGTATGCAGGCCAGTGCGTCTCAGGACATCCTTACTCTGATGAAGGAGTGGCGGATCGAGGCGACCGACCCTGACACCCCGACCTGTGAAGTACCGCCGTCCGAACAAACACAGCCCGACAGCCAACGACAGACGGTAATTGCGTCCCACAGACGTGTTCGTCGGGGAAAGCGATTGATATTTGTGAGAAAAACGTAGAAAACGTTTATTGTTAGCAATAGTAAAGTCGGTTTCCGAGCACGCGACGTAGATCATCCATTTAACGTTTGATTCATGTTTACTTAAAATTTACATTAAACCCTTCATGCTTTAGTTATGGAGAAAAGTAATGGTTCCTCTAATGGAATAAATAAAATTAATGAAGTCATTGCCCATGACATGACTTTGAGCAGGACGTGCGTGTTACAACATGTAACGTCTACACTTATCTCTGTGCTTGGTAAACAAGAACGAGAGAGATGCCCTATAGAGCACACGGCAGACGCCAGACGCTGAACTAATTAATCCAAACATTATTTAATGACGGACCATGCACCGTTAGCGTCCAATAAATGTTTTATCAACGTAACTGAACATAGCCATGACGTCTACGTGGTAGGTCATAGCAAGTGGACTGGTCATAAGCATATGCCTTTCAATTTTCAAAAGAATTGTATGTGCTGGCGTCTGGCGAGTTCCAAATGCACGTAGAAACATTGTTATTTGGTATTTCCACAGGCCGATTTGGAAAAGCAAACCGACGCACATAAAGTGTCTGGCAAGGACGGTGTGAGGACCGGCAGCAGCGGGACAGGTGAACAGAACAACAGTGGTTGCGGACGAAGTGGTAGCAGTCGAGGTGGACAGAGTGGGAGCAGCGGAGGTGGACATAGTGGAAGTGGTGGAGGCGGACAGAGCATATCTGGTGGCAAAGCTCTGAACAGCCGCGCTGGAGGCAGTGCCGGAGGCCCGAGAGCACGTCAGGTCAGCACATCGGACTCGGAGCCTGCCGTCCGTCCAGCGAGCGGCCCCGGTCGGCGTCCGGCCCTCCCAGCACGGCCCCACCAGTCGGCGCACCGTCTCTCCGGTCCCTGTCGGACCCGCGCCGGGCCCCGTCCGGCAGTGTCAGCGGTCGGAACGGGTGGACGGAGACCGACACCGGCCGCCTCTCCGGTCCCCTCTGGTGTGATTCGGCGCAGATCGGCCGCAGGAGTCCCACTTCGACCTGGCAGAGGAGCTTCAGGTCCACATTAGCTGAGCGCTGGCTGCAGCCCGGAAGGTCACAGAGGACCAGCAACCGGCCGACCGGCGCTGCGTAGGAACTAGAAACGGACAGCGGTGATGTGATTTCAGTCCAATTAGGCACATCCGATAAAGCTTCGACCTGTGTTTGAATGTTCTACCAGTCGGGTGTGAAAAGTATCCAAGCTCTCATCACATCATGAGACGATCTGAGGTAAACTATTAGGTCATCAACAGACCGTACGCTCTATGGCACGGCTGCTACATAATTCTAGTAATTCTAGGTAATGCAGTCTGTATTTTGAAATACATATAAGCCTAAAGCGTCGAAATGCTGCCATGGCTCTGTACCTTTGTCTGTTAAACAATAAACGTGAATTGATTTGTATTTGTTGAAGAATCAACAAAAAGGTATTTGTTTTGCTTGCCTGATTTTATGTGTAGATACCTAGCCAAAACTCACTTTCTCAAATCTCATGGCAGATGACAACTAACCAGGCACCAAGGCCAATTATAAGTGAAGAAGGTTTTATATCATCAGAGGGACATAGACGAAAGAAAAACAAAGGAACAAAAAGAGTAAGCTTCAGCGTACGGAATTTTCATGTAACGGAAGTTAGCAGGGATTCAGCAGGGGTTCAGCAGGGATTCAGCAGGGATCGACGGCCCCTACGATTTCGCTGAATTTTGGTGGAGAGGTGCAGAATGGTGTCCTCTATCGAAAATCCTAGTGCCAAAATGCGGGGAATCCATCAGGGGGGCCACAAATCCCAAAAAACAGTATGCCCTCAGGGCACAATCGACGAACTTTGAAAACCCTACTTCTAGCCGTCAAAACAGCTAAAAATGCACGTCATTCGAAAGAGGACAAAATTTTACGTACAACGGTACCAAATTTAGGGGGCTAGCGCCCCCCTGAACCGAACAAAACAGCTTCAAATATATGGGCCCGGGAGTATGCCTTCGGGGCATAAATAAACGTTTTCAACAATTTCAGGCCTATAACATCGACAAAATCCAGCAATATGCACATCATTGGAAAGAGCGTAATTTCCCAAACAAAAAACCCAAGTAACATTTTTCGATGGGGCCCACCTGGGGCCCACGGGACCCAATTGAAATTTGGGGCCCAATGGGGCGGCCCCTACGATTTTCTTCAAAATTTGCACAGACACTCTCCTGGGCCCCCTCTTCAATCTGGCTGAAGAAACCTACCGGGGAATCCAAAGGAAGGGGCCCAAAGAGGGCCCCAAAGAGGCCCTTTCTAAGTATTGCCCCTAATTTTGCGACCAACCCCGGCAATATGCACAACATTAGAAAGAGCGTAATTTCCCAAACAAAAAACCCAAGTAACATTTTTCGATGGGGCCCACCTGGGGCCCACGGGACCCAATTGAAATTTGGGGCCCAATGGGGCGGCCCCTACGATTTTCTTCAAAATTTGCACAGACACTCTCCTGGGCCCCCTCTTCAATCTGGCTGAAGAAACCTACCGGGGAATCCAAAGGAAGGGGCCCAAAGAGGGCCCCAAAGAGGCCCTTTCTAAGTATTGCCCCTAATTTTGCGACCAACCCCGGCAATATGCACATCATTAGAAAGAGCGTAATTTCCCAAACAAAAAACCCAAGTAACATTTTTCGATGGGGCCCACCTGGGGCCCACGGGACCCAATTGAAATTTGGGGCCCAATGGGGCGGCCCCTACGATTTTCTTCAAAATTTGCACAGACACTCTCCTAGGCCCCCTCTTCAATCTGGCTGAAGAAACCTACCGGGGAATCCAAAGGAAGGGGCCCAAAGAGGGCCCCAAAGAGGCCCTTTCTAAGTATTGCCCCTAATATCGCGACCAACCCCGGCAATATGCACATCATTGGAAAGAGCGTAATTTCCCAAACAAAAAACCCAAGTAACATTTTTCGATGGGGCCCACCTGGGGCCCACGGGACCCAATTGAAATTTGGGGCCCAATGGGGCGGCCCCTACGATTTTCTTCAAAATTTGCACAGACACTCTCCTGGGCCCCCTCTTCAATCTGGCTGAAGAAACCTACCGGGGAATCCAAAGGAAGGGGCCCAAAGAGGGCCCCAAAGAGGCCCTTTCTAAGTATTGCCCCTAATATCGCGACCAACCCCGGCAATATGCACATCATTGGAAAGAGCGTAATTTCCCAAACAAAAAACCCAAGTAACATTTTTCGATGGGGCCCACCTGGGGCCCACGGGACCCAATTGAAATTTGGGGCCCAATGGGGCGGCCCCTAAGATTTTCTTCAAAATTTGCACAGACACTCTCCTGGGCCCCCTCTTCAATCTGGCTGAAGAAACCTACCGGGGAATCATAAGGAAGGGGCCCAAAGAGGGGCCCAAAGAGGCCCTTTCTAAGTATTGCCCCTAATTTCGCGACCAACCCCGGCAATATGCACATCATTGGAAAGAGCGTAATTTCCCAAACAAAAAACCCAAGTAACATTTTTCGATGGGGCCCACCTGGGGCCCACGGGACAAATTGAAATTTGGGGCCCAATGGGGCGGCCCCTACGATTTTCTTCAAAATTTGCACAGACACTCTCCTGGGCCCCCTCTTCAATCTGGCTGAAGAAACCTACCGGGGAATCCAAAGGAAGTGGCCCAAAGAGGGCCCCAAAGAGGCCCTTTCTAAGTATTGCCCCTAATCTCGCGACCAACCCCGGCAATATGCACATCATTGGAAAGAGCGTAATTTCCCAAACAAAAAACCCAAGTAACATTTTTCGATGGGGCCCACCTGGGGCCCACGGGACCCAATTGAAATTTGGGGCCCAATGGGGCGGCCCCTACGATTTTCTTCAAAATTTGCACAGACACTCTCCTGGGCCCCCTCTTCAATCTGGCTGAAGAAACCTACCGGGGAATCCAAAGGAAGGGGCCCAAAGAGGGCCCCAAAGAGGCCCTTTCTAAGTATTGCCCCTAATATCGCGACCAACCCCGGCAATATGCACATCATTGGAAAGAACGTAATTTCCCAAACAAAAAATCCAAGTAACATTTTTCGATGGGGCCCACCTGGGGCCCACAGGACCCAATTGAAATTTGGTGCCCAATGGGGCGGCCCCTACGATTTTCTTCAAAATTTGCACAGACACTCTCCTGGGCCCCCTCTTCAATCTGGCTGAAGAAACCTACCGGGGAATCCAAAGGAAGGGGCCCAAAGAGGGCCCCAAAGAGGCCCTTTCTAAGTATTGCCCCTAATTTCGCGACCAACCCCGGCAATATGCACATCATTGGAAAGAGCGTAATTTCCCAAACAAAAAACCCAAGTAACATTTTTCGATGCAAATTTTGAAGAAAATCGTAGGGGCCGCCCCATTGGGCCCCAAATTTCAATTGGGTTACGTGGGCCCCAGGTGGGCCCCATCGAAAAATGTTACTTGGGTTTTTTGTTTGGGAAATTACGCTCTTTCCAATGATGTGCATATTGCCGGGGTTGGTCGCGAAATTAGGGGCAATACTTAGAAAGGGCCTCTTTGGGGCCCTCTTTGGGCCCCTTTCTTTGGATTCCCCGGTAGGTTTCTTCAGCCAGATTGAAGAGGGGGCCCAGGAAAGTGTCTGTGCAAATTTTGAAGAAAATCGTAGGGGCCGCCCCATTGGGCCCCAAATTTCAATTGGGTCCCGTGGGCCCCAGGTGGGCCCCATCGAAAAATGTTACTTGGGTTTTTTGTTTGGGAAATTACGCTCTTTCCAATGATGTGAATATTGCCGGGGTTGGTTGCGAAATTAGGGGCAATACTTAGAAAGGGCCTCTTTGGGGCCCTCTTTGGGCCCCTTCCTTTGGATTCCCCGGTAGGTTTCTTCAGCCAGATTGAAGAGGGGGCCCAGGAGAGTGTCTGTGCAAATTTTGAAGAAAATCGTAGGGGCCGCCCCATTGGGCCCCAAATTTCAATTGGGTCCCGTGGGCCCCAGGTGGGCCCCATCGAAAAATGTTACGTATGTTTTTTGTTTGGGAAATTACCCTCTTTCCAATGATGTGCATATTGCCGGGGTTGGTCGCGAAATTAGGGGCAATACTTAGAAAGGGCCTCTTTGGGGGCCTCTTTGGGCCCCTTCCTTTGGATTCCCCGGTAGGTTTCTTCAGCCAGATTGAAGAGGGGGCCCAGGAGAGTGTCTGTGCAAATTTTGAAGAAAATCGTAGGGGCCGCCCCATTGGGCCCCAAATTTCAATTGGGTCCCGTGGGCCACAGGTGGGCCCCATCGAAAAATGTTACTTGGGTTTTTTGTTTGGGAAATTACCCTCTTTCCAATGATGTGCATATTGCCGGGGTTGGTCGCGAAATTAGGGGCAATACTTAGAAAGGGCCTCTTTGGGGGCCTCTTTGGGCCCCTTCCTTTGGATTCCCCGGTAGGTTTCTTCAGCCAGATCAGTCCCACGCACAAGGGGGAAAAGCTCAAATTATTGAGCGCTCAAAATATTGAGCGTGTGACGTCAGAGGCTCCCATAGGCGTAATGCTGAGGGCTCAAAAAATTGAGCCGTTTCAGGAACACGTTTTGCAAAAGCAACTCGCAACACCTAGGGAGAAATGGCAACACCCTAGGAGAATCACTAATGATGCAAAACAGATTAGGCTTTCATATTTTTCACTGCTCAAGCTTCAATGATTGGGGGAACACCAATTTATAGGTCGAAATCTTACGGCATACCAGGATGACCTAAAAACAGGCCAATATTTATGTCGAAATAAAAGTTATTTTTTGTCCATTCAGGTTTTTTACTAGGGTTCTGTTGGAAAGAGCATTTTTCATACTACCCAAAATGATTGCGACTCAATTTCACATTACCCATATCGGAGAATATTTTTCATTTGGCGGCGCCGTTTGTTTATTTCGTCGCGACGTCTCCGGCCTCGTGGTTGTCGTCGTCCTTGTGTTGAAGGTAAGTTTTTATCGTTTTAGTTATACTTAGATGTTAAAAGGTACACTGAAAAGTTTGAATATGCTGTGATTTTAAATTTGGAAACACGTAAACGTCAATCAATTCACGTTTTCCTCGATTTGCGTGCAGATAAGTAACTGTCGACGAAAGTGGCGCCTCCGATATGATGTTTAGAAGGAAGGAGACACAACATATTTACGTGAAAATTTTTGTTTTTTAGTGGTCTAAGTGCTTCAAAGAGGCTGTGAATGTTTTCTTCACACAATTTTTCATTAGGTATGATGAGGTAAAAGGTAGTTTCAGTCTTAACTTTCATATAATTGACATTAAAACATATGATAGTCCACTGCTATCAGTGATTGAGTACCTTGATATTTGGCATTTCTTATTAATTTGAGTGTATTCTCTATCCATATGTCCTGATAGTAAGTGACAATACTCTGCCAATATGTTTCCATAGTTTTCACATTCATTTTCCAGTCCTTTACATAACATCACAATTTATAATCAACAAAACTCAACTCCTTCGTTGCTTCACAACACTGACAGCATGACAGACTGACAGTCAACTATTGTGTGTGTGAATGCTGAAACAGGATAGCCACTTTGCTGACTGGCTCATATGAAATAAGATAAAAATGATCCTTTATATCATTTCCATCTGGAGGATCGAAGTCAACGGAAAAGGAAGGCCACTTTTAAGCCTGAAGGTCTAGGCCGCCAAACGCCAGTCGGCAGTCACCACCAAATTTATAATAGATTTATTCATTATTATACTTTGAGACCCTTAGGTCACTGGATTGGCATCACATTTTCAGTTTCAATATAGTAAAGGTTTTTTATTTGTATGATGTGAAATATTTTCCTGAATCAGAATTTAATTATCCCTAGGTACCTGGTAGAGGTTTCGGATTTAATGCTCATTGTTGGTGTGCAGTCAGGATTTTTTGACAGGTCCAGATAGGGAATCCTGAGCAATTTTATAGTAAAGTGGTCTCCTTATAATCACCACACATTTTATCAAAAGTATTTGCAGAACTCATTCAATGAAGAATTTTATCAATGTTGCACCCATTTCTTAGACGACCTAGGCTGCATCTTTTTTAGTTCCTGTTGTATGACATATTTTCCATTTTGTTCCACTGCATAAAGAAAAAAATCGTTTGAGATCACCAAACAGCTTTTCTTTTTCTGGCAGTTCTGCACAACCAAGCGGTCGCTGGCGAGGACGTCGGCCGTCCTTGTGGGTAAGGTCATCTGCTCAGCCTTTGTGGAGATCAGCAAGACGTCACCAAGATGAAGACTTCGCTGGAGCAGAAGCCGCTGACCCGTGTCCGATCGGGCAGGTCATGCTCGACGGCACGAGCCACAACTTGAACGACTAAGTGACATCAACAACATGGTGGAGCAGGTGAATGAGTTTGGCGACGTGTTGTGCGACTGCAAGAAGGGTTGTCTGCGTGTTCTGGCCGGCGGAGCGGCGACGCTGCGCATCTGTGCTGGCGGTGAGCAGCTGGCCGTGGTGACCGCGCGCGCCCACATGCGCCGACAACCTGTGCGGCTTCGACGGCCCCGGGACAGCCCGATGCCGCCCACTATGCGACGCCGACCGCGCACTGTCCGCACGGCCACATGGAGGTGTGCCCGCGCCTTTTGCCCGCACGCCGCTACCTCGCAGCTGGTCTGCAACCACGCCGTCGCCGCCTGTAGCCCGATAACAAAACGGCTGTCTGAAAATGCCGCGTGTTCTTTGTGATGTTGCTACTGTGATGGTTGCTACTGCTGGTCTGAGACTCGATGTTTCCATTCGTCCTTTACATGTTAAGGATTTGATAATGATTAGCTTAGTCCGAGCTTAGGTCGTTTATATCATTTGTTATATGGCATATTTTGGATCAAAGCAGTACAACACTGCCTCCTGCTTTTGTGATGTATGCTGGCAAGACGCAGGTTCCGGTCGCAGGTCACCCGGTTCCAATGTGGTCGGGCTGGCATGCGATAATGTGATGTTGTTTTGCTCGTCTCTGTGTTCCACACTTGATGATGTTTGTGAATCTAACCCACATTGTATAGTATTTTTGTTTGTTTGCGGCCGATAGCCTTGTAAGTTGTAACCGTGGCAATACAGTTTTTCCTGCTATATTTCCTGCTCCAATATTCAAGCGTGGGTGGATATCTTTCTGTATTCACGTATTCCCTTCTTCCAGTACAGTCAGAGAATAGCAATACAGTATTCATACGGATTATTCAAGCCCTGTATTTGATTTTGAGGTGTGCCGAATCCGAAAGGCGACCGATAAAACTACTAGCGGAAAATGTGACATGATGCCATGGGTTTGTGAAAAGTTTAGGTACCACGTAGCATTCAACTTACTGCATTTCTGTTTCAACTCAGTTTAACGTATTTCAACGAACATAACATCAAAAATGGCAGCCAGTACCGGCTTCACCTGTCACGGAGAACGCTCAAAAAATTGAGTGTAGATGCTAGCCGGCACTCAATTTTTTGAGCGCCAGCTGACTGTCGTCTGTCGTGGCGCTCAATTTATTGAGTATCGCGGTCCCGAACGACAAGTGGCGCTCAAAAAGTTGAGCGTCTTTAGGGCATTTTCTTTCCAAAAACACCGATATGAATTATCACGGCGAGTGTTCGAGAAGAAACCTTGTTGCTCTCTCTTGCCATTGATACCTTATTTGGATACGATATTTGCCGTAGTGTGACGCTAACGGCATTGTAAAATACCATCGTTTCGCCTATTCCTTCATAATGGGGCCCGCTCAATTTTTTGAGCGCTCAATTTTTTGAGCTTTTCCCCCTTGTGCGTGGGACTGAGATTGAAGAGGGGGCCCAGGAGAGTGTCTGTGCAAATTTTGAAGAAAATCGTAGGGCTTGTTTTGCCCGCGAAACAGAATCGTGAAAGCGTGACAAAATAGAACGACGCTAGACGATGTGCAGCGGTCCTACCAAATAAGGTACGTAAATATTTCTTATTTGTAATTTATTTTTGTGTCTAACTTAAAAATAAATCAGATAAAATTGATCGGCTCACTTTCGTCTGATAGAGAAGTGCATTTTATTTGTGCTTTTGCTTATTCAGTGACAAGGTAAAGCAGCATCACGACGGCTATAGGGCCTTGACGACAGCAGTCAAAATTAAAAAAAAATTGAAGTTAAATGATTCTAAGTTCTAACATGCTTTTGCAAAATGATAGCTTGAATCCTTACCTTTACACATAAGCAAGCATGATGATTTATAGCAGGAAGTGTGCCTTTTTTATATGAGCAGATAGTTTCGGGCTTATTGACAGCTCGGCACTGGCTTAACTCTCAATGACCTCAATTTGACCACTTAGATAGTCAGCTCTGGCTCCCATAATCTACATTGCATGATTTTGCACAAAGTTGATCGCATTATTATCTTGATTGGCTCTTTTGATAATCGATAAAAACACCAATTAAAATAGTTGCGATTCATAGATCTGTGCAGTGGTGGGAACTGGGAAGAGCCTACAAGTCATCAGGCTGGAAACTTCACTAAGAGGCCGTTATTATAAAACAAAATCTGAGCCTGCTGCAAAAGAAGACAGAGGAAGTATTTTCATTAAGCATACATGTAGTTTTATAGTAATAAGCTGTTTTGTTTTGCTCAATATTTATTTGCAGCAGATGGCCAAATTTCATTTTATTATATTTTCATATTTCATTTTATAATAAGTATGACAGAGTTCAGTGCACTGCAGCTGATCCCAATAACCAAGCAGATGATGCCTCAGTAGGCTCATGTGCTGCGTGGCTGGAGCAACCCAAACCTAGCACTTTCAATGTCAGGAATTCTGTGTTCTACCAGTGAGGCACAGAACTGGAAAGACAACCCCCAACCCCTTGGATAACTTGCCATAATGAACAAATTAATAGTGACTTCTTGTTTCAGGTCACAATGAATGAGAGCCGAACCAGTGTTATAAGCGCTCGACCTGTGCCAGTGTTTGAAAATGCAGTTGAAGGATTATTCAGCACTAAAAAGGTAATAAATCTGACTGACTGCCTGGTAATGCAGCAGTATCATAAGCATCAATTCATTTGTAAACATACTAATGAATTATAGCTACCTTCCACTTTCTTACTTTTATTTGTTTAAGAAAAGAATTTTTGGGCTGAGTATATTTTGTCACTTCTAAGCACCTATCTCATAGTTGTTCATGAGGTCCTTGAGTGTCAATTATTCTTAACGTCAAGTTCTCATAAACTTGTGGATTGGATTGCTGTATCATCATACAGGATTTGGTGGTAGATGATATTTGTAGCTCATTTCCTTTTTCATTTCATGCTACACATGCACTCTCTCCGATCTGACCAAACCACGAGCCATGACCCTATTTGTCCCTCTTGTCTACCAGGCCCGGGCGCAGACGGAGCGCAAGTACCGCCCGCCGCCGCCGCCCCACCCGGCACGGGTCCGCAGCACTCTGAGCCGCCGCCGCGTCCGCTCCTGCCTGCCCGAGGCCGGCGCGGTGGCTGTCTCATTTCGTGACCACTCCGACTCGTGTAGGTGACTGAGAAGGAATACCTATCGGTGTTCAGGTAAAGTCGAAAGACTTGGATTAACATAAAAAATAAGCATTTGCTTTACTGTGACAAGTCATATACATTTGCAGCTTTGTACCATAGAGCTATGTCCGTTGTTGCTCGTCCTCACTTGTGTGCATAGAACGAGTCAATGAGAACAATGATTTTTGTGGAGTTCTACAAGTGCATGTTTTGCCTATGTTCCTCACTTCTTTCAAACTCAAGCCTACCATTTTCTGTACCTCCTTGAACCCTTCGGTCATCGTCCTGTTAAACACCGACGGATCGACCTATTAACACAACTTCCTCCGTCCGACAGCGGTCCTCACCAACAGTCTGTACAACACGGCCGACCAGCTCACCTACCTGGACCAGTGCTTCGACGAGAAGCGGCTGATCGGCTCCGGCTGCTTCGGCGAGGTGTTCAGCGCCCGCAGTAGGATCGATGGGCGCATGTACGCCATCAAAAAGTCCCGACAGCGCTTCAGGAGCGACGCCGACCGGTAAGGTTCAGGGGATGGGGCGGAGAAGCTAGCGTGGTGCTGAGATACGGCGGTTTTTAGATGATCGATATGACGTAATTCCTTTTCAGATGAATAACAATCTGCTCAAAATGAGAAATTACTGCTATTCTCCGTCACTTTGTTCCAGTCGACCAGTTTGTATGACATGCGCCGCTCACCCCTCCCTTCCGTACTGCAGCCGGCGGCGTCTGGAGGAGGTGCGAAAACACGAGCGCCTGCCGCCACACCGTCACTGCGTGGCGTTCCACGGCGCCTGGGAGGAGCGCGACCACCTGTACCTGCAGACAGAGCTGTGCGCCACCTCGCTGGCTGATGTGGCCGACACGGAGCACAGCATACCCGAGTCCACCGTGTGGGCCTACATGGTCGACCTGCTGCTGGTGAGTACCTATTTTGACGGTGAAGGGGAGAGGTTAGACAGACTGTTGATCTGTGAGCTAATGCCTTTGCCTGGAAATAGTTTGTGTGTATTTTTAAGTACTCGTAATTTTTTAGTCCTTTTCGTTTAGCTTCTCTTTGTTTCCATTTTTCGAACGATTTAATGTGGTTTGGAGTTAGCATTTCGGATGCTTTTGACTTAATATTTTTGTTTTGTAAGCAGGCGAACTCTCTTAATTGTTCTAGCCCGCACTTGTTCATACAAGGTCATATGATTCCTTGAACACATATTTCATGACCTTGTTTGATCGCTGATCTCGCTCTCAGGCTATCAAACACCTGCACGACAATCAGCTGGTTCACCTCGACATCAAGCCGGAGAACATCTTCGTGATGCGCGAGGGCTACTGCAAGCTGGGTGACTTCGGGCTCGTCATGGACCTCTCCGGCTCGGTGAGTTATTTCCACCGCTAACGGCTGTATTTGTGAAGTGTTTTAAGTGGTGGCAGCGTTTGCCGTTTCCACACTTGTCTCGCTGTTTTTGTAGCCACAATGACAGGTAGCTCGTCGTCTCACCGCTCTTCTCCCGCAGCGTGACCTGGACGACTCGGACGCCATGGAGGGCGACCCCAAGTACATGGCGCCCGAGCTGATGACGGGCCGGTTCTCCGCCGCCGCCGACGTCTTCTCGCTCGGCCTGACGCTGCTGGAGCTGGCCTGCGACCTGGAGCTGCCGGCCGGCGCGGCCGGCTGGCACCAGCTCCGCTCTGGCCAGGTGCCGGCGCCGCTGCGGCGCACCCTCTCCCCGGCACTGCGACACGTCCTGGAGAGGATGCTGCACCCGGACCCGGCGCGGCGAGCCACGGCCGCTGAGCTGCTGCGGCTGCCGGCGGTGCGCGCGGCGCGCCGCAAGAGGCAGCTGACCATCCTCTGCTGCACCGCGGTGAGTCTCGCAGAGGGGACAGGGGAGGGAGGGAGGGAGAGAGGGACGTGGTAGATGTTGGGTTGGGGATGATGAGTCGGGAGCCGAGACTGATAAATGCTAGTGTTGCCATATTCTCCATGCTTTGTCTTAATACGTCCTAAACAATGAACATTGACTTATCACATTTAAAGTCAAAATATCTCTGTATCGGTGCAGGCAAGCTAATGACACTTTGCACTTTTGACCTTTGAGCCATTTCCGATGCTTCCCGCTCTGGCTTTGCCTGTCTGCGTTCTTTCTCACATCCTTGTTGGGTGGTTCCGTTGTATGTAGTCCTTCGTTGCCAGCTGACCCGCTGTCTATATCCCCGTCCCCAGATCAGCACACTCCGCGCAGTGCTGTCGCGGCTGGGCGCCAGTCTGGTGGCCAGTCTGGTGTTCGCTCTGTGGCTGCTCTGCTGGCCCGTCCGCTGTGTCACTCACTCGGCACCCGGTGACTCGCCCCTACAGCCGGCACCGGTGGCAGGCACGACCGACGGACCCACGCCCCAGTCCAACGGAACGCCGGCTGCCTGGCTCGAACCCGCCTACAGCGATGATGGTGAGTGCGGTGACGTGGCACGATGCCGATGGAGTGCAGCAATTATCCCATGTAACATCAGGCATCGGTGGTTTTTGTTGGTAATGTAGGGCTGTAACCATTTTTGTCCATTCACATTTATATAACTATCTCAATCATTGACGCATGCATGTAGATAATGCGTTCCCCTCGCCAGACCATTTGCGTTGTGTTTTATTGATGTCATGCTCGTATACAGCTCATTCTGCCGTGTTGGCTTCCCACGCGGTTTGGTTTGGTGTCCCCTATGACGCTAGATTGGTGCTATCGGTGTAGTTAGGCCACTATAAACCATCGCCACCCTTTGATGTTCGTCCATTCATTGTCTACTGATGATGTGGGCCGGCTGTATGAGTAACGTCAGTAACGTACTCTAATGACGTGGTAGGGTAGTAGCGTCACATGCATCAGTTTGTGTAGCTGTGCGAGTTACATGAGTTGGCCGGGGCTGACCGTGGGAGTCTGTGACTGAGTCCAGTACCAGGTGTTGTGAGTTGTGACTGTGATTACTGGTTGGCATAGGTACCGAACTGTGACGTGATATCAGCTACCTTCGGTATACTGTGATATAATATAACCATATAAACTAACGTCAGTCTCAGTACCGATGATGATGACCGTATACCAGCTAACGTCAATAGTGTATGACGTTTATTTGCCTGACACCAGCTGCGATTTTCCACCCCTCAGAGGACCCGCTGAATATGACGGGCGACAGTCTACAATCTGAACTCGGTCTGCTCAGCTCCACGCCCGAGCGGGTCCCCGGCTCAGCTGCCTCCGCCGCGCGTCATCAGATGAGCCTGAGAAGGGTGCTGCTCTTCAACGATGACCAGTGAGTGACGGGGCTTGGGACGTCAGCTGAGCCACCTGTGCGGTGTGTATGTGATAGAAATGGTGAGGTGCTAAGGGGCATGTCGGTTGCGCTAACGTAGGTAACTATTGACACTGATAACAACAGGCTGTGTGCAGTGTGATCCGACTTAAAGCTTGTTGCAGATCTTTGGGGTCCTGCAGGCGTCTGAGGGGTTGCGGAGGCGAAAAGCTGAGGTTTTGTGGCTTGTTCAATTAGTGCGGTTTAGGATTTGATGGCTTACCCTGTGTTGGCGGTCATTATGAATATGATTAGCAGGCATAATTGGATGAGTTTGGCGTTCACCATTTATTCGAACTTCTGGCATTAGCTTTTATATTCTGTTCGGCGTCATGCCTCTTTGATAGCATCAATCAAATGATTACTCTCATTTAGGTACACTATTTAGGAATTACTGCTTGGCGTTTGTCAGTGTGAAAAGTACGTCTGCTCTCCTTCCCGCAGGGACGAGGCGGAGGACCCTGTACCGGTGCCTGCAGCGCCTCCCAGCGGTCGGCGCCTCCGGAGGCCGGCAGGCGGCGCCACCGGCGGCGGAGGAGACAGCAGTCCAGTGTCCCGCCGGCGCCACATGCCCCGGCCGCGAGCGCTCGGGTCGCTGCGCGGTGTCCAACAGAAGCTCGACTTCCAGGCGGCTCGGCTGAGCGATGACGATTGAACGCCGCTTGGCGGAGCTCTCTGAGGGACCAGAGAGACCCGAGACCGGTGGGACCGTCATCCCGGCTTCTACGTCAGTCCTAGGTGGGACCAGCGGCACCCAGGCACAGGACGGGGAGCGAGAGCCCTCCCCGCCGCCTGCCACTAACCAAAACACTGTACATAGAACCAGAGAGTATTGTATAAAAGTGCGTCGATGTGAACCTGAAGTGCCCCTACGGACCGCGGTGAGTTCACCGTCCGTCAGAACGCCCCTCGTGTCGCTGTGGAGAGGCCCAGTGGGTGTGTCTGAATGTCCGATAACAGTTGGTGACATACCAGGGAAATAAGCTAAAATTAAAGCGCTCTATTTATTGCTCCTGCCCCATGTTGAAGAGATACCCCTAAAAGCGTGATCTTTTATCGGCCCTTACGCAGCAAGGCAGTAATTCTCAGACCGGTGGATGGTATCCATAGAAAGAGAATGCGTCAAAGATTAACATGAATTAATTAAAATAACATTAAAATGTTAATTAAGCGTGGAAATTAGTCCCAAACATAAGCTAATTATTGCTCCTACCTCGGCGACGGCGCTCCCCGCAGTCGGCGGAGAAGCTAAAATAAAAGCCACCATCCTCCTCCGTAAGTCAATTTTAGAGCGGCCGAGTGGGCCGATGCGGGGCCACCAAACTGAAGTGAGACGTGGCTAGTAATTGCAAACCGCCATAGAAATCAATATCTTAAGACGTACAATATGGGATGATTACTCTGAAGCTGGAGTGAAAGCATGAGTAGATTGCAAGAAACGAAATGCATAGATTGGTTGAATTATGTACAATAGGCACAGCTCAGATGAAGCCATTTCTATGATGTTGACATATGACATAACCCTTCCTCTCCTCACGTATGACCTAAGTGCATTGGCAGTTACCGGCATAGTTTTTGAGCACGAGTGTAATTCGCCATCGGACCGCAATACATGTTGCTAGGCTGCTGCAATTACAACTAACATACGAATACTGCCTTCATTTGTAGACGTTTGTTTTTTTAGGCGGTCTTTGACGTGCAAGGGGGCATACCTGTCGACAACTTGAGTTTCTCCGAATTTCAAAAACTCCCAGAATTTCAATTCCTTATGCACTGTTGTAGGTACAGCTATGTTCACAAGTTTTCGTTTCCTCCTGTTCTAAAAAGGATGATATTTGTCGATTTCGTGCGTCGCTGATAGGAGGGTGCGTTTAATGATTAGGCCCAACGCTTTCTGCATCCACGAGTACCTTCAAAAGGGAACAACAGTTTCCATTTATTACACTATGGGACATGTGACAAAATGGCCACTGGAACACGCATGAAACGGAGCTCATATTCCTAAAAATGTCTACAATCACTTCTTTTCTGACACTATTAGCAAATACCATCTCAAGTTAGGTGGTTGACAGACAGTCAATGGAGATCTGGGGAGACTGAGTGATGCCAATTCATCACTTAACTGATAATGAGGGCCGAGGGAAGAGAAACATGCAACATGCACAACTGACAACTTGACAAGTGACAAAACACTACCACTATTGCGCAGTGCACAACAAATTACAGCAGCCAGCCCAAAAATGCTTTTGGTGGCTAATTGCAAAACAAGTCACTAATAAATGTCTTAGTTGCAGCTGAACACTGCACAATAATCACACTGTTCACACATTGAGTGAGATGCCACAGGTGGTTTGAATCACACTTTGGTTCAACTGTAAATCTGAAGTGTTGTCATGAGGTTCATGCCTCCATGATCACAGCACTTTGGTTGTGGTTGGCATGACACTTGTAGTCTGCAGAGTTCCACATGAACTGCAGACACCTCATCTGGTGGTCTTCATGTTGCTCAACTTCTTCAGGAGGCAAATGTCGACCACCCAGCGGAAGCATGGTCCTGCAGAAAAGAAAGGTAATGCATAAGGTACAAACATTATCTACTGAAACAGCTCCTTCTGTTGGCTGCTATTAAACTTTTAGCATAGGTAACATAACAACATGTATTCCATGTATATTACATTTGTTAAAGTAAAATACTGCCGGCTATTTCAAAACCAGAAAATGAAATTATATTGTGGCATAATTCAACTGCTCAGCTATCAGTATCAAATAATAATTAATTTAATATTTGGCATATTCTATATAACACATTCATAGAATATTCTACTTCACGTCACAAGGACTCACAATCTTTCTGTTGGGTGTTTGATTGACGCATTAACAAAGTTTGTCTTAGGTTTTATTATTGCAAAAAATTCATATTGCATTATTGTATCAAAATACTGCCAGCAATAACAAAACAAGAACATGAAATGCCAATGAGCAAGCCGCCTTTCCTTAAAATGGATTACTTTGAAAGGAATTTTAGTTTCTGTTAAGGAAAAGGAGAAATGATTATCAGGTAATTATCAGAAAACCACTCAACCAGCAAGTGGCTGGGTGGTTTCACAGCAAACATCAAGCCAAAACATATACTTGCATCTATCTAACAATTGAGCCATTTGACTACTACAAGGATATGTGAGCAAAATAAGAATCCAATTATCCAATGTTGACTTCCTTGCAAAGTGTATGCCTTATTTTATGAAAATGTGTCACTAGAATATGATACTTATCATCGAATATTATTTAATTTACGATTTATTTTGATCGGAATGCACATGGAGTCCCGCGCCATTTTCGTCGACGATGAATATGATCGTGTTTCATGAAGAGATAAGGGGTTTCAATGATCTTTCAAAGCAATAATTTGATGCAAAAATTTGTAGGAAATAATATGAAGCTGGTTCAAATGGCCATCAACCATTTAAAACACCGAAAATACTCACAACCCCGTCCCGACGACCACGCAGCACCGCGCACGCCACACTACTGGCACAATGCCAAAACTGCTGTCACAGCGGAAATGTTTTTTTTTCTCGATTGCAATTGTGGAATTATTTATTAAACAGAAGATGATCTTTCCGAAAAACCGACTGATTTCATACACAGATGCATGGAAAATAAAAAATCCCGGTAAGTTTATTTGTATTGTTTTGTCGATTTTGACATGCTCCTAGTTTGCAGCCATATTTCGATATGTTCTACAGGGAGTTCAGAATTATTTCAGGACCAATCTTTTCCTCATTCATTTTCCCGTCGATCATGAAATTTTTAGAGCGGAACAATTGGTTTCCAGGCGGTCCGAGCGGTTTTCGTGAGAAGGGTGCAAAAATCGGCGTCATTTTTAGAGCCTCGACACCAGCTCAACACAGGACCCTATGGGAGACGGTGAAGTAGCGGGAGCAATAAATAGAGCGCTCTAATTTTAGCTTATTTCCCTGGTGTGTCACCGACTGATAAGGACGGAGGCCAGCAGAACATAGCAACACTCGCCACAATCAGAGAAGAGGGGGGGGGGGGGTGGAGAGTTGTGCCGGTACCAAATCAGGGTGACTGTCACGGCGTCGGCCGGCCGCGCCGAGAGATGTGTGTCCACCCCGAGCGGAGGACAAGGCTGTGTATTTGAACGGGATGAATCGCGTATGTCACTAAGGTTGTCTGTTGTGTGTGTATATTGTCGGTGCACTGTCTGCATCATGCCGTAGCCCACTCACTGATAGCAATACCGTTGAGACCAGGAGTATTTTATTTAATCCCGATTATGATTTGAGCGCGGCTGCGAGCGTAGGGAATGTCGGCGGTCAGTTGTCTTCCGTAACAAGCTTCCAACACCACTCATCGTTGAGCGATGGCACACGGGCGGTCGTGCCTCTTGCATAGTGCGTAACTTCCTCACACATCGCCTCAATACAGTGGGATAATGAACGGATAAAACGTGTCGCAAATCTTACAAACACATGACACATCGTGACAAAGTAGATCAATCTAAAACAAGTGTGCACCATTCTATTGAAAGATGAGTTGATATAAAATATTTGTTAACCGTCATGGGTGGAATATAACAGCAAGACCAACCAGTGCATTTCATCAAAACACAACCTCATAATTACGTCTTAGGAGGATGAACAAGTTCCTGTATGGCAAACGGCGGCCTGAGAAAACAGCGGCCACGTATTTTGTTCCCGCCACCTGAGTTGACCCGGGGTCAGGTCATGGTCTATGGGTCGCCGAAGAGTCCACTGGAGCGGCGGGCCCCTAGAGTCGGCACCGTCACTTGGACAGCTTGGCCACCAGGTTGCTGGCCAGCTTGTCGAGGAACTCGAACGTGTTGAGGTAGTCGCCGCGGGTGACGCTGGCGGAGAACGAAAACGACGTGTCACACGATAACTATCTTATCGCATCACATGTACCCACAGAGCTTCAAACGAGCAAGGAGGCCGCTCCAAAACAACACTAAAACCGCCTCATTCAACGAGATGATGATGACGAACAAGACTAGACGATTTATTCTATTCCGGCTCAATAATCGTCAAGCAAACACTTGACTTAAAACATTAAAACTTCGAGCTGATCAACTCACTAGCTTCTCCATATTTTGATTGTTCACTCACTTGGCCATGCCCTTAATGCAGATGGCCAGATCTTTGGTCATGTGGCCGGCCTCGATGGTCTCAATGCAGACGGCCTCCAGGGCGCGGCAGAAGTCGCCCAGCCGCGGGTTGTCGTCCAGCTTGGCACGGTGCAGCAGGCCGCGGGTCCACGCGAAAATGGACGCTGCAGGACGCGGCGGGGAGCGTCACAGGTGGGGGAGGACCAGGGCGTATCGTCACGTCGATCGTGGCCGTGGGATATCAATGGGAGATCTCTAGACACTTGGGTAACGGTCGTGGTGTATCGGGACAACGGAACCGCGACGTGAACATGCGAGAGAGAAAAAAAAAGAACGCACAAGGCGACGGGTATCTTCGCAATCACGGATGGCGTAGTTTCACATTCCATCACATTACTCAAGACGTCGTAGGTTTTCGCAAAACAAATCGCAAATGCTACATGAAAAAGCCGGTACACCACGACTCATTCAAAAATGTGGAAACCATGAACCGTAACTCGTAAGCAACCCCTAGGAAGGGAATGATACCTCCCATGGACCACAGCGGGCGTTGTCGGGCAGCCCTCGTCGATGGGGTTGGTAGACACCGACAGAGGTAACTCACCGATGGGGTTGGTGGACGTCTCGTTGCCCTTCTGGTGCTGCCGGTAGTGCCGGGTGACGGCACTATCGGTGTTAATTACTCACCGATGGGGTTGGTGGACGTCTCGTTGCCCTTCTGGTGCTGCCGGTAGTGCCGGGTGACGGCACTATCGGTGTTAATTACTCACCGATGGGGTTGGTGGACGTCTCGTTGCCCTTCTGGTGCTGCCGGTAGTGCCGGGTCACGGGGTAGGCTCACCGATGGGGATTCACTCACCGATGGGGTTGGTGGACGTCTCGTTGCCCTTCTGGTGCTGCCGGTAGTGCCGGGTGACGGGGTAGGCTCACCGATGGGTTTCACTCACCGATGGGGTTTGTGGACGTCTCGTTGCCCTTCTGGTGCTGCCGGTAGTGCCGGTTCACAGGGTTTCACTCACCGATGGGGTTGGTGGACGTCTCGTTGCCCTTCTGGTGCTGCCGGTAGTGCCGGGTGACGGCACTATCGGTGTTAATTACTCACCGATGGGGTTGGTGGACGTCTCGTTGGCCTTCTGGTGCTGCCGGTAGTGCCGGGTCACAGGGTTTCACTCACCGATGGGGTTTGTGGACGTCTCGTTGCCCTTCTGGTGCTGCCGGTAGTGCCGGGTCACAGGGTTTCACTCACCGATGGGGTTGGTGGACGTCTCGTTGCCCTTCTGGTGCTGCCGGTAGTGCCGGGTGACGGGGTAGGCTCACCGATGGGTTTCACTCACCGATGGGGTTGGTGGACGTCTCGTTGCCCTTCTGGTGCTGCCGGTAGTGCCGGGTGACGGGGTTTCACTCACCGATTGGGTTGGTGGACGTCTCGTTGCCCTTCTGGTGCTGCCGGTAGTGCCGGGTGACGGGGTAGGCTCACCGATGGGTTTCACTCACCGATGGGGTTGGTGGACGTCTCGTTGCCCTTCTGGTGCTGCCGGTAGTGCCGGGTGACGGGGTAGGCTCACCGATGGGTTTCACTCACCGATGGGGTTGGTGGACGTCTCGTTGCCCTTCTGGTGCTGCCAGTAGTGCCGGGTGACGGGGTAGGCTCACCGATGGGTTTCACTCACCGATGGGGTTGGTGGACGTTTCGTTGCCCTTCTGGTGCTGCCGGTAGTGCCGGGTCACCGGGTTTCACTCACCGATGGGGTTGGTGGACGTCTCGTTGCCCTTCTGGTGCTGCCGGTAGTGCCGGGTGACGGGGTCGGCTCACCGATGGGTTTCACTCACCGATGGGGTTGGTGGACGTCTCGTTGCCCTTCTGGTGCTGCCGGTAGTGCCGGGTGACGGGGTCGGCTCACCGATGGGGTTTCACTCACCGATGGGGTTGGTGGACGTCTCGTTGCCCTTCCGGTGCTGCCGGTAGTGCCGGGTGACAGGGTTTCACTCACCGATGGGGTTGGTGGACGTCTCGTTGCCCTTCTGGTGCTGCCGGTAGTGCCGGGTGACGGGGTAGGCTCACCGATGGGGTTTCACTCACCGATGGGGTTGGTGGACGTCTCGTTGCCCTTCTGGTGCTGCCGGTAGTGCCGGGTGACGGTGCCGTGGGCCGCCTCAGACTCCACCGTCCGGCCGTCCGGACAGATCAGCACCGAGGTCATCATGCCCAGGGAGCCTGTGGCAAGGGTCAGGTTAGATCACCGAGGTCATCATGCCCAAGGAGCCTGTGACATGGAGTCAGGTCAGGACATTATATCCAGGGAACCTGTGACAGGGGGTCAGAGAGCTCCTCAACTGGCCTCATTAGCATAGTGTACCTGCAGATGTAAGTACATGTGCCAAGGTAGATGACAGAAAGCCAGAAGAAAAACTCGTCGCCGCTTTGCTCGCCATCCCGCATATAATTCTGGACACCCTGTTACTAGGCACGCTAGACAAGCCAGCCGACGAGTTTTTACACAACCCGGTAACCGGCCGAGATCGTACACTGGCTTCATCGAGCTACAGTTTAAATCCGAGAGTCGCGACTACGTGGCCGAGTGGAAATTTTCCGAACAGTACTGGAGGAAGCGTCGGTAGTGGAAATTTCCACCCTGTATCCTCTATCGTGGGGCCTGTATGCCAGTGTCTGAGAATGTGCAGGCGGGGCGCGATCCATTGCTGAAGTGAATAGCCACGTTGAACTCAATCCATTAGTTGTTAATAGGTCAACTGGCTTATTGATATTGCAGGGACAAGGTCATTATGAGCTCCGTTCAGTAAATAGAAGAGCAAACGTTCGTTAGCATACCAGCGAAGATCCCGCTCGGCAGTCTTGATGCGCGTATTCACCACACAAAAAAATGCACCGTCATTGTTTAACATCGTTTATCTAACGCTGCAGCGTACGGTCTAAAGTCGAAAGCTCAGCGGGTGTAAAAACGTACGGCAAGAGATCCTGCCTGATTCACACCAATGTATACAGTAGTTCAAAGAGAAGTATTGAGAACGAAAACCACCACCCATGCCTAAAAAACTACCCCTGCCCCAACCACCCCGAAAACAGCACGTCGACTTAAAACAACCCTGAACTCACCATATCCCTGCGCGACAGAGTCGCTCTGCACGTCTCCGTCGTAGTTTTTGCACGCCCAGACGAAGCCGCCCTCGGACTTCATGGCGTAGGCGACCATGTCGTCGATGAGACGGTGCTCGTACCAGATACCGGCGGCCTCATACTGGGGACGGTACTGCCTGAAGGGGGAGGAGGGAGATGTCAGTGATAGGAGAGGGGAGATCAACTGGTCCCGTTGTCACTTGATCATCATTATATTTAGTTAGATTGGAACAGCGTGTACACTGTACAGTGACATATTATTTGCGAAGCTTCATATCCACTATAATGGCTTCGGTCGGTAGTAACAATGGCCAGGAGGGGGAGGGAGAGACAGAAGGGAGGCGGGGCGGCCACAGGTGGTGGTCCGATGCAGCCCCACAACTGCACAGCGCGGTTCATCGCCCTTCCCCTCCCACGCGTTGGGGCCAGCGGGCACACTGTCCGTGGAGGAAGCACAGGGGTAGGGTGTTACACAAGGGTACTGGTGTTACACAGCTACGCGATATCGACCCGGCCCCGTCCGTGGTACAGACGGCCTCAGTGGCTGCGTGCCAGGTATCCACGTGTAAAAACAAACAAAGCCAGCCCCGACGGCACCAGACCACGAGATGGCGCATAACACATGCACACAGACAGGCCAGCCAGCCACTCTCCGGGCGGGATAACGGTCAAGTGGAGGGTGGGGCGAGATAGCGTACCGCCCTCATGAGTCATGACCCGTGTCATACTGGCCATCCGCTAGCAGGGAACCAGGCAGTAACTGTGCAACCGGTGATTTACGATGTTCGCAGGATGATCAGGAATGTTTGCAAAATGGGTCAACTATAGAGACTGATAAAACGCGTCACTCTGTCCTATGTGACGCTATGGTAAATGTTGACAAAGTCAGTGGAGAACACCGAGATAAGCGTAGCGTAGGCTGTAGGCTATAACAGGCTACGCAAAAATAGCGCACAAATTACGCGTATACATATGGAGACCGCGCCAGGCGCAAATTTACCGGTTAATTAGGCTGTCGCCTAGCCCGGCATCCCTATAACTAGACCAGACGACGAATCTGTCGCCAACCAACCGCAGCCCATCCACGTACGACGCACACGGCGCGGGGTTTATTATTTCACAACGGGGTCAACGTAACTATGCGAAATGGCAGCCGGGACACAAACTATGATCCCTGAACCCAGGAGAGTAGCTTGAATGACACATGTCATAAATGTCACGAATGTAAGCAGTGCGAAGTCGCTAACTGATACGGTGTAGCGTGAGATTACTACGCAGTGAGTAGTACTCCAGAAGGTACGTCGAGCGCTCTTACTGCTGTGTCCCGATAATTCTTACCCATGCCTTCGTTTTACGAGATCTTTTCGTATCCACACTACTCCCCGATACGTCAGACTACGACAAACAAACTCACTTGTCGTAGATCTCCTGGAAGATGTCCTTGAATCTGCCGTCGTACTTCTTCAAGATGGTGTTCTTGGTTGAGAGGTAGAGTGGGTACTTTTTCTCCAGAGCGTACTTGAAGGACGAGTGCGCGAAAGCCTCGATCGACTCGTCCGTGTTGTACATGCCCATCGCCACACCGGCTCCCTAGTGGAAAGACATTACGCAATGGTGTCAGAACATCTTCAGCGGCATGATGATCAAACATGTAAAATTGACTAATGGCCAAATCAGTATAACTTCGCAATGCGATAATATTATAATGTTTATGGCCTCTAATGGCCTCCCGTTGACTGTCCACTTCTTTCATCCTTTCCGCCGCCCACTATTGGCATGAAATCTGAAGTTTGTAAGCTCACCTGGAAGTTATGCACGGTGTGCGTCTGCGCGGGCCCTCCGTCGGCCGGTTTGAAGACGAGCTGAAGCTCCCCGGCGCCCGGTATCACCAGGTCGGTGGCCTTGTACTGGTCGGCGTGCGCGTGGCGGCCGATGATGATGGGCTTGGTCCAGCCGGTCACCAGCCGAGGGATGTTGGCGCACAGGATCGCCTCGCGGAACACGGTGCCGCCAAGGATGTTACGGATCGTGCCGTTGGGCGACTTCCACATCTTCTTCAGGTCAAACTCTGCCGGGAGGTGAGGAGAGGGGTGTGGCGTATCGTTCTGGGCTGAGCGTGCGATGTTGTGCATCTATTCCCAATACCAAATGAGAACTGGGACCGTTTGAAAACAAGTTTTCCAAGTGTGGCCGGAAGGACAAAGAAAGGGAGATACCAAACCATTCGCAGAGTTTGGCATCAGTAAAACTCCAGAAACGTTCTCGGATTTTCAAAAAGGCAATGTTTATCTCGACAGACATCCGTAATGACATCTGTGGAACCACTGGCTCATATGTCTGTATTAACTACGAAAAAAGCAAGTCGACATTAACTGGGCAGTAAGCGGTTCAAATGCAACTCTGGACTTTGTCACATCCAATAAACATTGTTCTTGCTCTCTGCCCAGCAGCAGTCTTCCTGACCTCTGATCGCGCACCGCCCAGACCGACCTCCGATCTCGCCCGCCGCCCAACGAGTCGACTCCGAGTCGACCCTGCCCACTGACCTCTGACCCTGCCCACTCACCTTTGACCCCATCCGGACTGACCTTTGACGCGCGCCTCGTCCGGAGTGATGGTGGCGCACTTGATGCCGACGCCGTACTTTTTGATGGCGTTAGCGCAGTCGACCGTCACCTGGTCGTCGGTGGCGTCGCGGCTCTGGATGCTCAGGTCAAAGAAGTGGATCTCTGGCTCCACGTGCGGCAGGATTAACTTTTCCTTGATGAGGTCCCAGATCACTCTGGGGGATAAATGGATGGGTGGATGCTTTAGCTGAGTAATTATGAGGAAATACGCTACTTACAAGAGATTTGATGGCTTTTAACTACACACAACAATGCACTTTATCCTAGACCTATATGAATTGATGCTTCAAACAACACACCTGAATACACTCCTGAATAAAACAGATCTGGCTACTGCAAAGCCTCTAGATCAAACATCTGACCTTGCTGTGAAATAACTCAAGTTCTGGTCTCTTCTGAGCCATCAGCCCCCCCCCCCCCCCACATACACACACAATCACCACAGACACACATTCATTGGCCTCAATTTGACCAATTGGACTTAAGTTACAAGGCTCCTCATGATGAGCAAACAATGACTGCTGGGTACCTACTTGCTGAAGGCCATTACTCTATTTGCTCTGATAATCAAATTCCTCACACTTTACTCTCATTTCATCTCCTCAGCCTCTCTCCCCTCCATGCCTCTTTCTCACCATCTTTCTGAACTTTCATCTTCTCTATTCCAATCAATCTGCTAATGTCATCCCTTCTCTCTCCCCTCCCTTTCCATTTCCTCCTATCTCCCAGACACCCTTTTCCATAAATCCTATTGCACTTGGTCCTGTCAACATCTCTTTTTCAGTCTTGCTCTCACCATCTCATCAACTCAAAAGCTCTGACCTCACTTTCACATTCTCTTTCTTTCTGTCTTTCTTTTTGTTTCTGTGTTCTTAAGCATAGCAATATTTCAAAGGGTTATGATAGACCCAAAAACTCATGGCTTACCTGGTCATCTCATCTCCCTGCATTTCCACAACTGGTCCACCTGAAATAAGTAGAATGATTTTATACAATATGTTTGAGCAGTAAAAGCCAAACATCCTAGTCAAGAGAAGACTTTCATTCCAAAAACCTAGTCCAGAGCATACTTTTAATGCTTTATTTAGGACATGTAAGTGAGATAAAAAAATAGAGCCAAAAAAAGTAACTTAACAAATAAAACAACTTCTCATAAAGGTCTCTGAATGCCAGAATGCTGCCCTTGCATTGCATGCCATTCTGAATTCACATTTCATTTTAGCAATGTTTTCATTTTGTAGCTTATCTTGATCTTTAACTTAACTAGCCATGAAATGTTTGAAAACATAGGGAGATAGCCATCTGAAAATGGCCAAACTTGTCAAAACTTACAGTTGATTTTCTCCATGATTTTGGTTTTCTTGACCTTTGTAAGCTGAATTCAGTGTCAATCCTTTCCCTGCAGAGGGCAGACAATGATTAGCTTATAGAAATCATACATTTGAGTTTTAAATGATGGTTCCTAGGTTCCTTTTATTTTTAAATGTTGTGAAAAAATAAACAGATACCTAGATGAAACAAAATAGGCAATGGTTACAAATGTGAAACAAATCACACAGAACCAGATACATCGAAAATAATTGCCATGTAAAACCAGAATCTAGAACCAATACAGATTACTTGAATATTTACAGCACAAATGAAATTAAAATGCCATCCCATTCACAATACACAACTGCAACAGAAACAAAATGAAAAGGATCAGGATGGGCTGGATAGTGGATTGGGATGGACCTGACCTGTGTATAACTTTCAGTGGACTTCCTGGAGGTTTGAGGTAAGTTGGGGCACTTGTAGGCAACAATGCAACTAGTGAAGGGCTAACGACCTGCACCGTGCACCATGCAACAAATTGCAGGCACATTTTACAACCCACCCGACTCCTTTACGAACTCGAAGGAAAGTGTCGTGCCGGTGGTGCCGGTATTCAAAGAAGGTAAAATTCGACCATCAAGGGTTCTTTGGTATGTTACGTTGTACCTACCATATGTTCTACTAGCTTTTACCACTAGACTAGTGGTAAAATGACATCTTATACCAAGTCGAAAATATTTTTTACTAAGACCGAAGGCAAATTTCTTTTGAATAATATTTCATGTGAGTATTTAGCTATTTTTGGCTTTTTGGAAAACTATCCAAAATTTATTTTGGAGTATTGAGAAGAAAAATATATTTGTTGATACACATCTAGAAGTGAAAGCTAGACTCCTTACGAATATCCTAGCTTACTATAAGTTAAACAGACTCCCACCAGGGGGCTCCCACGTCGCGTGAGTGGTGCCCAAGAGGTGGTGCCGTTCAGGTGTTGTCCATCTGAACTGAAGGGTCCGTATCAAAGCGTCCAAGACCGCAGCACCCAAAGTACGCAACATCCAAAACCGCAGCGTCCAAAGTACGCAACGTCCAAAATACGTCCAAAATCGGGTTTATAGGGGGCATTCACAAAGTCCAAAACCGAAACATCCAAAACCGCAACTTCCAAAAACGTATCATCCAAAAAACGCAACATCCAAAGACGCAACATCCAAAGTACGTAACCTCCAAAACCACAACATCCAAGACCACGACATATCCAAGGCACGCAACATCCAAAACCAACCTAACCTAACCTAACCTAACCTAACCTAACCGAAACTAACCTAACCTACTGATTTTTGCCTATCCCTAACCCAACCTAACCTAACCTAACCTAACCTACTGATTTTCGCCTACCGGGGATAAGGAAACCCAACCTAACCTAACCTAACCTAACCTAACCTAACCTAACCTAACCTAACCTAACCTAACCTAACCTAACCTACTGATTTATGCCTACCGGGGATAAGGAAACCTAACCTAACCTAACCTAGCCTAACCTAACCTAACCAAACGGTTTTGGATGTTGCGTACTTTGGATGTTGCGTACTTTGGATGTTGAGTACTTTGGATGTTGCGTACTTTGGATGTTGCGGTTTTGGATGTTTCGGTTTTGGACGTTGTGAATGCTCCCTATATACCCGATTTTGGACGTATTTTGGACGTTGCGTACTTTGGACGCTGCGGTTTTGGATGTTGCGTACTTTGGATGCTGCGGTTTTGGACGCTTTGATGGTCCCCCCCATCTGAACTGCACAGTCACGTGACCCATTTGACCTTCGGATCCAATTCTGGTAGTCAATTCTGGCGCTTTTGTTACCATAGCGAAAAATATAACCCCGTGTTCAAAGTTTTGCTGACGACTAAGATTCTGCGTAATCTGGCCAATGACGTTCGAGAACCGCGGCCAAGCCCCGCTGATCTTGAACGTGATTGGTCGGACGGCGTTTAGAATCTTCGTCGTCCGGGAGACTGCGAACACGGGGTAAGCCAAGGGGTAAACAATCTGTGCGTGGAATGGGGAGTGGTGAATTTGTAAGGGCGATGATAGGCTGATTCGTCGATTTTTATTTATACTTTTATCCTTATTATACATTCTGATCATTTTGTTTATGTTCAGGAGTTTTCTCTGTTGATTTAACATCAAAAAACTTTGTGTTTTACTGTTAATGCCAAGTGCCATGTTGATATTGAAATTGGGTTACAATTCCATATTCACCTGTTTTTCTATGGCCTGTTGTGCATCATATTATTGGTAATGTGAATATAGGTACTCCATACACTGCTATTTTTGGGTATATATTAATGTCTGACCTGATTTTACTTCACGTCTTCACTTCACCTTATATTTTCTTGCAACAACAGTTATCACACCATTATTGTGCAAAAATAAGGGTGGTGTTTCGCGACACTTGCCAGCCACTTTTGATTTCCATAGAGACATCAACAAGCCTATACCTCCAACACTACCAGAGGTTGACGCTAGCTCACAGATTGCGCTGGCAGCGCCAGCGCGCCCGTGAAACACAGCCAGGGGTTTCCTCTGTAACGTCATTGTTGTCTAGGTACTTGGGCCTTCATCAATTGTTAACAGCTACAAAAATTGGAATTAAAAATGTCCAGGTATTGTGAGCATCAGCCGAACAGGGAAGTGAATTTGGCTACAGCCCATCTTGCAACGCCTCAGTGAAATATAACGAGAAACTTAAATTGAGGGAGCAGCTACATAACTGAGGTAAAGCCCATCAATCCTTGTGGATTTACCTACATAACTGAGGTAAATCCACAAGGCACTTTGAGTTCAAACTATGAAGTGACTCCAAGCGAAATATAACAGAAATTGGGACTTTGTGGAGCTTAGAAATAATCTGCTTAGTGCTGGATGAATGTTTTCACTTAAAATAAACACCACCATATTTGAGTCATGAAAAAGTGTTTGGTAAGCATAAGCTTGTAGCATAAAAGATGTTTGTGAAATGTCACTAGATTTTAAAGTGTTAGTCTCTGCACATTGATTCTCAGATTGTTTGAATGATGAAGTCTCTGCACAGTCTCTGATTGACTGAATGAGCTCTGCAGTCACAATAATGAAGTTCATGGGAAGATATGATTTGTAATAAAAGAATAATATTTTGAGTTGATTTTACCTATTCTGTGAAGATCATAGCATGTTAACAGCATTCCAAACAGGGCATGTCAAAGGTTGGATGGATCTTGCGATTTCCTTGAAGTGTGACTGTTTACCATATGTTGTTTTTTTATTCAAAGTTATTGTTAAAGTCAACCAACTTTTGCAACATTGAGGATCATACTTGAGCTTTGGAAACAAGACATATTATGTAGTTATGCTGATCTTCTTTTCCAGTCTTTGATTATCACTTAATTTCATTCACTTTTGATGTAGTGAAATTCATGATCATTTTAATGACAAGCTACATTTGAAATGTATTGTTGCTCCCATTTTACCATGCATATTTTTGTGTCTTGTGAGGTCTCATATCAATATAGCAATAACAAGAGCAGTAACATGCATAGTTTGCTTGTGTTGTCATAACTTTGTACAATATTTCCAGCTTTATAATATGCAGTTACCTCACATTGGGCATCACACATATATTTTTTCCTGCAGGAGGAAAGACACAGAGCCAACTAGTGACTCATGTTTGTGCTCCTATCACTTCACCCCTGGGGAATCAGTGCCTACACCCCTTGAGTATAATGGTCATCGAGGGGTGCTGTCCTGACATGTTCACTTTCTGTTGAGAAGGTTAGAACAAATACCATGTGTGTCATTTAGTTGCATATATAATACCTTCATGTTAAGTCTGCATTAAGTCTAAAGTCTGTAGCCACCCTTAATCCTAGGTTGTTGTGACCTTAATCTAGCCTGGGTGAATATCTGGCTGTACTTAAAGCACAGACTGCGCTACGCCCCGGCACGGCGGCCGGGGCGCCTCCCCTGGAAGAAAACGGCATCGGGGAGAGGGGACGGACGGCGAGGAGCCGGGGAAGGAGCGCGGCACCGTCACCCCACAAGCCGCCCGCAGCACCGCCGTTATTCTTGTGCCTCTTGGGCGCCGCCGACGCCCTGCGGTTGGGGAGCGCATCCCAGACGGGCGGGAGCCGGGAGGGCCGCCTGCGCCACCCGGCCGGCGAAGCAGCAGCCCGGCCAGGCGCGGCGGGCGGCTGGGTAGCGGCCGGACTGAGACGAGTCCCGAGTCGCTCCATGTCTGTCCCTTGCGAAACTAGTACCGCCGCCGCCCAGCCTTGATGGGTCACTACGAGGAAAAGGCGAGCCCGCTCCCAGTACCTGGCGTGGAGCTCCCGCGCGGGTACGCCGCCTCACCGATGGCCCCTGGTCTTCTCTCTCTCTCTCTCTCTCTCTCTCTCTCTCTCTCTCTCTCTCTCTCTCTCTCTCTCTCTCTCTCTCTCTCTCTCTCTCTCTCTCTCTCTCTCTCTCTCTCTCTCTCTCTCTCTCTCTCTCTCTCTCTCTCTCTCTCTCTCTCTCTCTCTCTCTCTCTCTCTCTCTCTCTCTCTCTCTCTCTCTCTCTCTCTCTCTCTCTCTCTCTCTCTCTCTCTCTCTCTCTCTCTCTCTCTCTCTCTCTCTCTCTCTCTCTCTCTCTCTCTCTCTCTCTCTCTCTCTCTCTCTCTCTCTCTCTCCTCTCTCTCTCTCTCTCTCTCTCTCTCTCTCTCTCTCTCTCTCTCTCTCTCTCTCTCTCTCTCTCTCTCTCTCTCTCTCTCTCTCTCTCTCTCTCTCTCTCTCTCTCTCTCTCTCTCTCTCTCTCTCTCTCTCTCTCTCTCTCTCTCTCTCTCTCTCTCTCTCTCTCTCTCTCTCTCTCTCTCTCTCTCTCTCTCTCTCTCTCTCTCTCTCTCTCTCTCTCTCTCTCTCTCTCTCTCTCTCTCTCTCTCTCTCTCTCTCTCTCTCTCTCCCCGACGCCAAAACCGGCTCACAGCGGCGTTCATGTCGGCCGGGGCGAAATGATTTGATGAATTATTTCATAAAGGCATTAACAGTGACAAAAGACAAAAGTTCAACAAATTCTACGCATGAATCATCCAGTAGGTACTGGCTTCGAGAACAGTTAAAATGAAGATGCACAAGAAATCGTAATTTCCCAATGACATGACATGGCTGTCGCAATGCTTAGCCGCAATCACCTCTTTTTGTAGTTCAAATGGTAAGTAGTTTTTGAAATTATCCGATAAAAATCTAAAATTGATACCATATGAAAGACCAATCAATTCTACACATGAATCAGGGTGTATCTTTGAGAAAAACTTGAAAGTTTAGGTGTGATAAGAAAAACAAATAAAAATGAACCATTTCCCCATAGACTTTACATTGGCTCCAAAATCGCATGGATCCAGAATTTCTGGAAGTGCCCTCGCCACAACTGCACGTGCGCTGCGCTCGAAAATGATCACGTGACCAAATCCAGATGAGATCACCACAAATGAAATTAAAATGCCATCCCATTCACAATACACAACTGCAACAGAAACAAAATGAAAAGGATCAGGATGGGCTGGATAGTGGATTGGGATGGACCTGACCTGTGTATAACTTTCAGTGGACTTCCTGGAGGTTTGAGGTAAGTTGGGTAACTTAACTA